TGCACGAAAAGTTTCAGGGTTTTTTCATCTAACGGCGGATGAACTTGCACAGCCAAGTCCCTCCATTTTTGTGCGTACTGCCTGAAACTCTCGTTATGCTTCTTTTCCATGTTTTGTAGCATAACTCGATCTGGCCTTATGTCATTGTTATGCTTGTATTGTTCCAGAAATGACTTGGCCAGGTCCTTCCAGGTCTTGATATTTGATCAGCTTAGCTGGTTGTACCACCGAATGGCTGAGCCCGACAGACTATCCTGAAAGCAGTGGATCAGGAGTTGGTCGTTTCCTCCATATCCTGTCATCTTCCGGCAGAACATGGTGATGTGAGCGGATGGGCAACTATTCCCGTCAAACTTCTCGAACTCCGGGACTTAAATTTCGGGGAAGAACCAGTCCGGGACTAGACTAAGTTTCGTTGCATCGATTTCATGGTAGTCACGGTCTCCTTTGACTATATTCATTTGGTCCTCCAATTGTTTGATTTTTTCCTCCATCTTCCTCGCTTTTTCCTCTTCGTCCAAATCCGGTACATGGTAATAACCCGGATTGTTCCTAGGGTTAAATACAGAGGACAAGGGCTTTGATTTTGCAGCAGATGAGTCCCCTCGAAGTTCTGGTAGGATTTCAGGTGAGATAACCACTTGTGGGGTAGGTTGTATAGTTACCCCTTCCGGTGAACCTGCCCCGGGCGCACTGGTCTGTTGTAGGCCAACTAACTTGGCAACGATCTGATCAACCAAGGACTCTTGGTTCTTTGTGATTGTTTCCAGAGTATTTCGACTGTTCTGGTTTATCTTGTCTTCTAGTTCTTTTTGTAGTTTTACCATATTCTCCTCGATTTGTGTAATTCTGGCTTCCATCCTCTTCTTCTTCAAACGAGTGTTATGTGGATGGGGTGTGTCCAATGCTTGAGGCGGTGTATCCAGTATTTGTTCCCCTTGATGAGACATGTTTATATTAGTTAATGTGAATGCAAAGAAAATAACAAAATGCAAAGAAAATAAGAAATGCAAAATGTATAAATATATGATGCATGAAATGTCCGAGGCATTGATCCAAAAAATGTGCCTGTTATTCTGAATAACCCTTATTGGTGACAAAAGTGTTACGTCTGAAGAGACAAAAAACTCTCTTTGATGGTAAAAATCCTGTACAGCTTCTGACAAGTTGATTCATCTTTTTCACTAGTTGAATATCCTGTCGAACCATTCCGGCTCCTTTGGCTAAAATGTGCAAATAATGAGATGCTTGCCCCAAAAAAAAAAGATCTCGAAGGACTGCATCTCCGACTTTCACTTTCTACCGAGCTTGTTTCTAACGAAAGTGTCATTGGAGCCCTCCATCGAGAGAAACTATCCGAAGCTTGCTTCTTGAATTCGTCCGTAATGGCATCCAACTCAGCTAGTGTTTCACCATCTTGTTCTTGTAGTTTTCGAAAGGAGCGACCGAGTCAGTGACCTTTTCCTCGTATTGCCCCTGCAACTTTGCCTTTGAGTATTCTTTGACCACGGTTGGACTTCTGAGTTTTTTATCTCTTTGTATTATAACCCATTTGTCCATTAATGCAGATTATTCATGTTTAACAAACATATTTTTGGTGGATCAACACATCGTATTAAATGATGCAAACGATGAACACAAAATAAAAGAGAACAAAAAATAAAAGGGTTAGTGAGGTAAATCAAAACAATAATAAAAATGAAAAATGCTACCCCACATGATATCTACCCCACATGCTTATTATTCCTACCCGGACATGATCTCTATCCCGCATGCTAATTTTAAACAAAACCTAACCACATGTTTGTCTAGTTCGCATGCTTTGAACAAAAAATAAAGTAGGAAATAAAACAGCCTAGGGTTTGGAATGAGGTTTTGGGGTGGGCTCTAATTCCCTGTACTCTCCCGGTTTAGGTTCTAAAAAACGGTACTCGAGTTCTCCTTGCCGGTGCCCCCTTGGGCTTACCAGACCCTTAGTCCTAAACCCATCACAGGCTTGTGTGGACTAAGTTAAACTCGAGGGGACACATTCCCTTATGCCCGCACGGTGAATAAATTCACACGAAGACATAAGGTATATGAATCCCGAAGGCTACTTGCTAGGCATATGCGGTGAATAAATTCACACGAATGCGTCGCTTTCACCCCCACTTAAAAGGGTTCGGAGCTCGGGTATAGAGCATGAGATGAAACTTTTCGAAAATCTGAAATCATTGAAAAAATGTTAGTACAACTATTTACTTGGAAAAATAATCAAAAGTAAATAATTGGAATCGAATAAATAAATTAAAATTTAAATTTACAATCTTCGCATAAAAAGACAACCGAAAATTAATTCTGGCCTGACTCACTTACCGTTTCCCAGTGGAGTCGCCAAGCTGTCGGAACCGTCTTTCGGTTGGGCCCGAAATTGGGCTTCGACTTGGATTAAACGAATTGGAGTCGCCACCGACCATTTTAAAACGAATTTAGGTGGGTCGGACACCATCTTACCTGATCTGCGTTGTACCAGAAACGTGTCGGGTTCGGGAGTCGGTTACGGTCAAGGAAGGATTAGCACCCTTGAACAGCCCTTTCGGTACCAATTAATTTGCCGGTTGTCTTGATTGCGAAGAATTAAAAATTAAAATTAAAATTTAAATTACTCGATTCGAATTGCTTACCTTTGATCGGTTGAAAATTTATCTACAAAGTCAAAAATGTTAGTAAAAAATAAATAAATAAATAAAAACAATAATAATAAATAAATGTTAAATAAATAAAAAAACAAATGGAAACAAAAAAAAGTCAAATATATATATATATATATATATATATATATAAATAAAAATAAAAAGTCAAAGAAAGAGAATAAATAAATAAAGATTAAAGAGAACAAAAAAATGAGTTTAAAAAAATAAGAGCAAAAATAGAATAAATGAAAACAAAGGATAAATGAAAATAAAAAAGGATCAAATTGAATAAAAATAAAATAATACGAAATAAGATAAAAAATAACAAAAAAACCAAAAAAGGATCAAATCGAATGAGCTTGAAACCTATGGACTGAAATGAATTTTAAAAGTGAACTGCAATAAAAAATAAACAAAATTAGGGGGGTTAATTCACAAAATATAAAAAGTGTAAAAGGTGACCAATTTGAATGAATTGAGAATCCAGAGACGAAATTACAAGTGATGACCAGATTGTAATGCGATTTAAACTACCAGGGACTGCGGGGAGAATTAAAAAATCCCCTAATTGCACATAGACCCCTGATATATAAATACCCGAAAACACTCTTCTCCCCTTCATATCTCCCATTTCTGATTTTCCTCTCTCTCTCTCCTCAACGAGAGAACAATCTGTTCTCTCGCTACATCCTCTCAATTCTCTGAACCAAGCCCCATATCACGGCCATGCACTCCGCCGTTCGCCGCCGCTCCGGCCACCGACTCCGGTGGCCGGAAAAAAAATCTAAATAACCTCAAGACGCTCCCCTCGTCTCCGTAGAAACAAAACCGTAGCCCAAATCACCAAGACCCCTATAGATCGGCATAGATCTAGGAAAATAGCCTCGACTTTTTACCTTCTCCGATGACCGTTCGCTTTTCCGATGGTTTCTTCGGTTGATGCTTCAGTTTTTATGCTTCTTGTGTGTGTGGCTTTTGTTTTGGTACTGTTGATAGCTGTTGTGGCTCTAGATGATGTGTATTGTGGTGTGGGTATTTTTTGCTGTTGTCTCTCTGTCGATTTTGGGTACCGTTGTGTAGTGTGATGGTTGTGGTTCTTTGTGTACTCGGTTGTGGTCTGTTGTTTCTCGATGTACCCTCCTCCTCTGTTCCTGACCGTGGGGGGTATTTATACCTCTACTGGTGCCGGTCAGTTCCGATGGTCGTGGTAATAAACCCGTGTCGTGGGCCGAGGATTTCGGGATGGGTCAGTCCCGATTTCCTCGGCCGGAGATCTCGCGCCGTTGTGACTGTTGGCGCTCATGCTTCCTTGACTTGCGGCGCTGACTGGGGCTGTGTGACTAGGGTTTCCAAACCCTAACCCATATTGGGCTAGATCAGGCCCAAACATGTTGGACTCGTTGGACCTATTAGACCCTGCAACAAAATAAAAATAAAAATAAAATAAGTAAAATATATAATAAATAAATAACAAAAGGTAAATAAATAAATAAATAATAAAAAAACATTTTCCAAAAATCTATATAATATATATTTTTAAAAATATTTTAAAATTATATATTATATGTTTTTTTGAAAACATTTCCAAAATTATATAGTTTTTAAAAATGTTTTTTAAAATTATATATTATAAGTTTTTGAAATGATTTAAAAACTATATAATATATATATGTTCTTCAAAAAATATTTTTTAAAAACTATATATATTTTCAAAATGTTTAAAAACTATATAATATATATTTTTTAAAAAAAAGTTTTAAAAATTATATAGTATATTTATTTTCAAAATACTTTAAAAACTATATAATACATATATTTTCAAAAATATGTAAAAACTATATATTATATTTATTTTCAAAATACTTTAAAAACTATATAATATATAAATATTTTCAAACATGTTTTCAAAACTATATATTATATATAGGTTTTAAAAATATTTTAAAACTATAATATACATATATCTATATATATAAGTGAGACGAAAATGAGTGTCTACAGAAGGGTTAAAACATTTTGATAAAAGAATTTAATTTTTTGATTAAAGGACTCAATCTTTTAATTAAAATGATTTAATCTTTTCATGAAATTCATGAAAAGAAATTTTGAAAAGTTATAATTGAAGGGATGTAATTTTAAATTAAAAATTAAATATATTCACCAAATAATACGAATTATTAATAATAATAAAAAGCAAGCAGTTGCAGGCCCAATTATGTCTTAACCAAGTGGAAATTTCTTCTTCTTTTTAAAATGTAATATAAACTCTCTTTGAATAAAAAATAATCGAATAAAGAGACATTCCAAACATTGAAAAGTAACACAACCTTCTATTAACATCAAATATTTTATTTATGCAATACCAAAACTGACAAATCCTCAAAACAGAACAGTAGTGATATAAATCCGAGATAAATTACACTTGCATCACAATTAACAATCATAAACCTTATATATATGTGGTGGGCACTGAGATACATATAAATTACTACTAGTGCTACTTTAACAAGATGTCCACTTGACGTCTTGTTCATCGGCTCATGCCATCTTCCACCACTGGTGGCATCGGAGTCATTGCCACTTCACGACTCTGCTTTTCCATGTTCCCATGCCATCCTACACAATTCACGCTCATATGGAATTAACTTTAGATACAGATATTTGATGCATGTATACGATAAATAACATAGAATTACCTATGGATAAATCGTAACCGCGGGATTGAAGCTCGCGGTACTCTTGGCACAAGGCGCAGTACTCGCAAAAGCAATGGACGAGGCAATCCCCGCAAGGGTGTTTCTTAAGCATGTACTGTTGCCTCATTTTGGCTCGGTAAAAGCAGGAGTAGCAACACGCGCAGCCGGTTACGCATGCTATCAAGGTGTAAAGTGCTCCATTCACCCCACATGCTGTTCATATAAAACAAGTTGTTCAGATTCGGAGTATTTGGTAGCATGTGACCTTAATTAGCCGAGGATTCAACTTACATGACGATCCTTTGTCTACTATCTCTGCAATCTGACCAAAAGTTACGCAAGGGCACCAACATGTGATGCAACCTGTTAGAAAAAAAAAATAGTTCAGCTGCAGCGCGTGAATGAAAGCGCCTCCGTAACCCACCCATCATTTTGGTTGCAAGGATGAGTTGACTTACAGTTTCTCCAGTCAGAGAAGCAGTCGCAGAGCCCTGAAGACCAAGGGACTCGAGTTTTGGTCTGAGAACTGTCGGTGTAGTATTGGTTTGAGGAGCTGACCGGAACCCCAGTTGTGGCATCTTCTTGGCCGAACTTCTGTGGTGCTGACGGCGGAACTGAAAATTTTTCGTACCCACTTGGGTTGAAGGACGCCATGGCTAAAGCTCTTTACTGTAGATTCAAAACAAAAGCTGATATTTAATTGATTGATTGATGCAAATTCTGGGAAATGGGATGGAATTTTCTTGGAAATTAAAAAGAATTTGGATGGATATATACCGAGAATTAATGATGTATAATGGGCTAAGACAAGTCAACAAAGGGTGGATATTAGGGGAACAGGTCCAGTTTAGCGCTTGTTTATCACGCCCTTTTACGTTGCGGAGGTAATCGAAGGAACCGCGTGAATCGTATACACGTGGCACTTTTTGATTTGATACCGAGCTTGGACTTATATGAAGTGTTTTTTGTTGCTTTATTTAGAAAATCATTTTTATTAATATGAGATAATTGAGGGTAACTTTTAATTATTTGATATTAAATATTTATATTCGTGATATTTATAGTATTTAAATACGAGACTTTAAATAATAATAATAATTTTTTTACTATCAAAATCACATAATTTATGCTAAAAAATTTATTTTAGAACAAACAATATCTTACAATAAAAGTCAACATATTAAAAATCAGAGATGCAACTAGGATATGTTTAAATAGTTATTTTAATTGTTAAAAATTTAAAATTTAAAATATCTTTAAATTTTATTAAATTATTATAAATAATTATTAAAGATTTATTTTTATTATAATTTCTCATTCCCGTTTTATAATTGATTGATAATGTTAATAATTTATTTATAATTTTTAAAAAAAATTAATAACAAAAGAATTATTTAAGCATAAGAACGGTCAATGTACTTTATCCAAACCATTTAAACTCCATACTCAATACTTTTATTTGTTTCATTTTCCTTTTATATGAGTAATTAGGAAACATAATTTAATTTAAAAAAAAATCCTTAATTCACAATGGTGTTTGACAGTATTATTAATTGGATTTTGATTATTAAAAAATAAAATAAAAGCTAAATTTCAAGGGCACAATTAGACTATTTCAAAAACAAAGTCATTTCCTTTTATCATGAAGAAATGGTTGCAAAAGGAAGTAGAATCCAGAGGAGCTTCCATTAAAGAAGGTAATTTAGTTTACATTATTATGCTTAAATAGTGTTTAAGCTCAAACTACTTCAAAAAGAAACGAATTATTTTCAATATATTTATTTATTTATTCAGCCAAACATTTATTTGATGAATATATATTTATAAAGAGAGATAATAAGGTATTAGGGTTTGAATTTAATATAAACAATTTTTTTTTAAAATCGACTCAAATATAAAAAGTGTAAAACTTAAATTTTAAATCTAAAAGTTTTTATACCTCGTCCTCATGAAGTAGGGAAGAAAGAATATCCAGTAGTCAAGTTGGTAAGGAACTCATCACATGCATTGATCAAATTTAAATTTCTCTCAACAGCCAACCATTGCTTCGGTTGCAAGTTTCTTCAAGTAGACCCATTTCGACCAACTCTCTTAATGATCATCATTGTATTTTTTCTATAATTAAAAAAATAAATTCAACCGACAATAAAAGTATTGTAATCATAAACACGGTTGATTCCTCTTTTCATCTTTAATTGATAAGCAACTGAACTAATTTTGACGTTGGTTGCCGTTGGTATTTTTTTTGTTTTCCCTTTTTTGTATTATATCTTTGATTTTTTTCCAATTTTTAATAACTCTGTCTTTTGGTACGTTTCGATTATTTGACTGTTATTTTTATTTATCTTTTTCTTAGGGTTGGATTTCACATTCGTCACGACTGATCAAGATGATGCTTATTTATTATCATGTTGATCATCAATGCTTGGGACCATCAAATTGAATTTGGATACACGATTTACGTTCGTTGATTGTTCTCTCACGTCGTTCGACTCTGATTTGTGGTTTATATGTGGTCTTTCAATAGTTTTATCTCATTTTTTGTGCTTTGTGTACCGATGCAGTCAGATCTGTTTGTATCTATCTTTTGTTCAAGTTTTTAGTTAGCTTTTTAACATTTTCCTCGTATGGTCTTTTGGTGATTTTAAGTGATTAGCTTTTAGGTGTTTACATAAAAATAATTTAATTATGTGTTTAATTTACGATTATGGCTATAAACATTCATTGCAATTATAGATATTTCATTTTTTTAATAAAACTAGTTGTTTTAATGAAAAAATGTAATCATTATACTTTTTAATATAATATAGTATATATTTATATATGAAATATCTTACGATGGTCATACACCTAATTAAACCATATTTTATAAGGGACTTAGTTAGCAGATTTATTATTATTATTATTATTATTATTATTATTATTATTATTATCCTTGACCATCAAATAATTTATAAGGAATTTGACTGTAGAATAACCATATTTTTAAGGTTAAACATTAGGTCAACTTTATATTTATACGTTGTGGTGATTGAGGGTCGTCCCCTGATTGCCCGTGTCGAGAAGGTGGTGGTATTGGCCATTATGGTGGTTGGTCCGTTGGGTTTGGGTACATGTCCATGTGCCCTTGTGCAACAAAAGCGGCAACAAATGAGGAAGAGAAAGTGGGTTTATATTTATACGTAGAAATGTATGAAATTAGCAATAATACGAGTGGGATTTGGTTCGAAATCTTTGCCAATTTGTTGTATACGTATACAAACGTATGTATTGTTCGGTCAATGTGTGATGTCTGATACCAATAAAACCAATTCCACAGAGGTTACAACGATGACCTAATCTAAAATGGCCTGTTTTGTTTACAAAATCAATAAGATTTGACAACGTAATTATAACGATAATGCTTGAAAAGTCATGTAGTTCTTGTAATATTCTTTTTGCTCTCATTTTAGTATCTGTTTTTTATTATTAAGATAAAATTATATATGTATTACTAACCGTTCAAATCTTTATCATTTAAAGATAATATATTATATTTTATTACTAAGATTATTTCTTAAGTTCAAAGCTCATGTAATTTTGAATAATATTTGAACTTGAATCGTCTATAAAAAAATAATATCTTTTATCATTTAAACAATTTTATTTGAGGTAATTGCCTAAAGTATCACATAAAGCAAATAAGATAGCATACAAAGTATTATTAAATTTACAAATATATATTGAGACCAGTTTTAATATATATGATAATCAAACTCAGAATTTCACATAACATAAAAAATAATTGCACTATCTCATCAATCCTATAAGCTTCACTTTTATCTTTTCATGCCGGTTTCCATCACTGGAGCCGTTGGCATTTGCACACCTTGATTTTGTTGCCTCGCCATGTTTCCATGCCATCCTACATAATCCAAACAAAAGAATGCAGATTAAAAACCATGGGATTGAGCGAAATTAATGCATATAAACTATTGTGTTAAACTTTATGTAAAATGTGATTTTTTTATAGTGTAATAAATGATTACCGAGGGACATGTCGAAGCCACGGTTCTTGAGCTCGCGATATTCCTGGCACAGGGCGCAGCTCTCGCAGCAGTAATGGAGGCAGCAATCGTTGCAAGGACGGTCTTCCAACATGTACTGACTCCTCATTCTTTGGCGATAGAAGCAGGAGTAGATACAGGCACACCCCGTGAATACTCCGATTAATGCGTACAGTGCTCCACTTGCTCCACATGCTGCCATACATTAAAAACAATTATTTTGGAGTCAACTCATTACTCCTTTAAGATTTAGAGTTTAAAGTTTACATGTTGATCCTTGATCGACGATCTCAGCAATTTGTCCGAAGGTGATGCAAGGACACCAACACGTGATGCAACCTATAGAATTCAAGTAAATCAAAGAACATTGAGCTAACAGTTGGAAAGAAATTAAAGGAAAAAGATGATAGGTTTATTTGAAAGGAATAGCTTTACAGTTGGAAACATCGGAGCCGCAGTCACAGAGTCCCGTCGACCAAGGGACCGTCCCTGCCGGTTGCTGCGTACTATAATGCTGGTTCATTGAGCTAACAGGAACACCAGTTGCTGGCTGGTTTGCGTACATGGTGATGTCTGATGTGTTCTTTGAGAATTATTGTGAATAAGAAAATGAAAATTTGTTGAAGGCTTCAAGGGAGAAAGAAATGGTAGGGTTATATTTATATAAGTGAAACCACGGTAAAGGAAATATCACAAGAATCTTCACAAAGTTTTACGAGTCAACTCAGCTTCCGTGAAGATTTAAGTAACCAAAAACACGTTTTCACCATAAATCGGCTGCATTAATAGTTTATTACCAATTCCAAAACATCACTTAGCGTGTAGAGACCAAGTCTACACAGGCCTGTTTTGTTCACCAAAACCAAGGAAATAGGTAAACATTAATGTATCGAAAAGGAGTTGATGAAAATGATTGTTATTTTAAAAATTTTATATATTTTAAATATTTTTAATTAAAAATATATTTTTATCATCTCTAAAATTTTATAATTTTTTTGTTCTGGTAACATAAAATTATTTATTCATCCCGGCAATAAACATAAACATGATCACTATATTATGAGATATTTTTAAGCAAACCATAGATGAAAACAATGAGACTTTTCTACCAAATTTCCACTTAGCCACACGTATATGAAACAATAAGCCGCCACCGATGAAACCAAAGTGCCAATAATTAACGCGTGTATGCCACCGTTTCAAACACGCTCTTTGTTTTGCTCATCACATGGGCAGCTCTAGTCGTAAACAACCCGGGAGTTACCCCGAAACCTCATACATTCTCTACTCAAATAATACGTATTTTAAACATATTTAGAATTTAGCCCTCTTACTTTAATTTATAATTTTTTTAAATTTAAAAATACAATCTAGTCGTAAACTCTATTAAAGCAGAGAGAAATTTCATTGAATTTAACCCACTTACTTTAACTTTAATTTATAAAAAAAGTAAGACTGCAATACGATGCAGGATTTGTTTACCGAACAAAAAGGAAATAGTGGAAGAGATTCAAGAGAAGCTGAACCAAACTCTTGGCGGCCTAACTTATCACCCATGTGATTAATTATTTCTTATAAGTTTTTATAACACAACTTTTATGAATTAAGACATATGTCTAACTATAATCTGTAAGCTAAAATAATATATCTATATAAACTAAAGTTAAAGTGACAGACGCCCGTAGACTTGTTCATGGATTATAGAACCCTCAATATCAATATCAAACATATTTTTATAATTAATAATAATATTAAATATTTTTTTAGATGATCAAGATTTTAATCAAGTTAAAATAATTGATAGCAATAGATGTAAAGAATTGATGGTTGCACATTGTTTTCTCTTGCAACTAGTCTTTATTGATTAAAGGTGGCGGTCCCCAGGACGTATGAGTGGAAACAACAGGGCTTTTAATACTACACGTAAACATGGAACTCAAGTCTGGCGGATATTGACTCTCTTTATCTCCTCAAATTTAAGATATATATTATTAATTTATCAACCTTTACCTATTAATTTCCATATCTATAAATAAGGGCTCTCTCAGTTTGCAGAAATATCCATAGAAAATAATCCAAATTCATCCTTTTTTTTCATAATCATTTAACCTACTTTTCAGAACAAGTTTTCGTAGAGTATATTGATCCATATACATATCGTATATATCCATTATCTATAATTAAATTCCTTAATCATGTCAAAGCCTCAAGATGAAGCTCCATGGTCCGTCGGATTCTGTGATTGTTTTTCTGATATGAAAACTTGTAAGCTCGTCTTTCTTCAAAACCAGTTCAGTCATTTCAATTTCCAAATGTATATGTGAATGAATTTTTGGTTAATTTACGAGAATTTTATATATGTTTTGAACTTTCAGGTTGTACTGCTTGCTGGTGTCCATGTATCACCTTTGGCCAGATAGCTGAGATTGCTGATAAAGGATCAACTTGTAAGTAATTAGTCTCTAAATTTGGAATCTTGTCATATTAAGTATGCAGATAGTTGAAGAGAAATTAATGTTGAAAAACATTGTTTTGAATGGTGCAGCATGCGGGGCAAGTGGGGCACTATACACGTTAATAATGTTCATCACGGGGTGTCCATGCTTGTATTCTTGCTTTTACCGATCCAAACTCAGAAGGCAGTATAACTTAAAGGGCGGTGATTGTGGCGATTGCATGCGCCATTTTTGGTGCGAAACTTGTGCTTTGACTCAAGAGTATCGTGAGCTCAAGAACCGAGGATTCGACATGTCTATCGGTAACTACATATACCCACATACCGTTTTATTTTTAATATTTTTCATGTCTATACTCTCTATGTTAGTGGTTCGGAAATGTATTAGTTGATGTCGTTAATTTTGTGGGGTTTACGTGCAGGTTGGCATGCAAATGTGGAGAAGAACCCAGGGCTAGCAATGGCTCCACCGGTTGAAAAAGGGATGAACAGATAGTTAATGATGGGATTTCTACGTTAATGTTTTCTTTTTATTCACTGTCCTCTTCAATGTCTCAACTATCATGCTTTTTTCTGTAAACTTAATTTCCTTTGCCTTCCATAATAGGACTATTGTACGGCTCATTTGAATTTGTATGTATGCATGTTTGTCAAGTATGTTTGTGGTCAAAACGTGTTGATCTAAGTTGTTTCTATCGATGTACGTGTGAAAATCGAAATAAGATTTGTTTCATTGATATAATTTTTTATTCGGTTAGTGATTAATTTCATGAAAGCCAAAGAAATTATCATTAAAATTTGGACAAGCAAACACACATCACTACAACAAAACTGTAGCGGCGTTTTTAGCGGCATTTTGAGAGTAAACGCCACAAAATTTAAAAATATAGCGGCGTTTACAATCCAAATGCCGCAAAATGAAACTTTAGCGGCGTTTTTTTAACAAACACCGCTATATAATACTAATTTAGTGGTGTTTTTAGACAAACGCCGTAATAGGGTTCATTTATAGTGATGTTTTTCAACAAACGCCATGATAAAGAGTTCGTTAGTGACGTTTTTAGACAAATGCCGCAGTAGTTTTAGTTTATAGTGGCGTTTTCCCAACAAACGCCGCAATAAAGAGAACTTTAGCGACGCTTTTAGAAAAACGCCACAATATATTTCATCAATAGTGTCGTTTGTTAAAAAAACACCGCAAAAACATATGATATAGTGGAGCTTTTCTAAAAACGCCGCCATAGGATAAATATATGCTCCACCCTCTTCTCCTGCCCGATCCCTAAAATCATTTCAACTTTTTTTTCCCTAAAAGCTTCTTCTCTGGTAGAACAACGACCCTCACACGATTCCAAGCTTATGTCTGTCCTGGCGACCAAATCGACCCTCTCACCGACGAACTATAACACAATTGCACGGTTTGATCCATTCTCTCAGTACTGATCTTTTTTTCTTCTAAATGTTGGTATTCTGTAAATGGGAAAAACCCAGAAAGATAACGTATTTGAGAAAAATAATAGCTTTCGAATTGGAAAGCAATATCTATACATAGTGTTTTACTGGTTTAATGCTTGGGAGCAGTGTTTTACTGCTTTCGAATATAAAAATAATAGCTTTCGAATAGGAAAATAATAACTTTTGAAAACGTTAACAAATGGTTGTGGTATAAAGAGCATTGAGTTTGGTGAAGGAAAATAAGGTTTTCAATTGATTATATATATATATTGTTGGATCCGACCTTTTCAATTGATTGCTTTTGGTTATATATGGAGTCAGGTTTGTGGCCGAGTCTATAGGGGTTAGATGTGTATGTAAGAGGATGAGTTTGAAATGAGAAATTTGTTTTGAGGGAATGTTTCTTTTCCTTTGCACTTAAATGAGGATTTAGTTTTGAGGGAATGCATTTACATATGAATATATGTGAGGTCTGTGTAGGAAGGAGACATGCATTGATAATTGTAATAGTATTGGTTTGGTCATCCAAGAAAGATAAATTACTCTCACAGTTGTCTAGCGTATTTTGTCTGAAATTTTCTGGAGCTATGTTTCTGACAATAGTCGCAGCCTCATTTTGCAGTTTACAAAAAGATATAGTAAGAGAAATTATCGTCGGAATGTCCACGTGGCGTATTTGCTTTGACGATGGATCAAATTATCGTAGGGAGGCTTCCGGTCCGTTCTTGCCGCCAAAACTCGATGATGACCCGAAATAAACTCCTATTGCTCCAAACCCTTCCATGGTGGATCTCCTTCTTCAAGGTAATAATCTCTGAATCTTTCTACTTCTATATTTTTTATTTTGTAGTTTTAAATTTCATAGATCATATGCATGTATGATGTTCGAAGCTTATTTAGAACGATGATAGTGGAGTGGACAAACACCTGATGTTTAGAACCGAATTGGGGAAATCTGTGGAGTAGAAAGAATCTTCAATTGCAAAAGCATTATCTATCCTCGATGAAGATGATGTTGCCTCTACTGTTACTCCAAGTAAACATTTCTCTCTTTTATTTTAATTTTTTTAGTTCTGTTTATTCAGTTCCCAAGCCACTTCCAATCAAGTTTCATACTGTAGGTGGAAGGTCGTTATCTGTTTCAAGTGAAGCACTGAAGCGCGCAAGGAGTCTTCTTGGTGAACCGGAGGTAGGGGATTTATTTGGTGAAATGGATGAAGAGTTTCTCCATATAGAGTTTACACGGAGGAAAAACTTAACGATGCGTCGTCAAACAAGGAAAACAACTTTCCTAAGTCCTTTCCCCACGAAGGAGCAATGAAGACTAACTTCTATTGAACAATATTTTTGTATGTACAAGTGAAAGAACCTAAACTAAATTCTCGCGAACAATGTCAAACTACAAGTTATGCTATAATTTTAATGTTTAAAAATTTTAATTTATTTTGTTATTAAGTTTTTTATGCATAACTTGTTAATTAGATATGAATATATTTTGCGGCGTTTGAAAATTTAATAAATGCCAAACTGAAATATTTAAAATCAATTAAGCTTATCTAAAGAAAGGTAACTAGCGGTGTTTGTCTATAGTGGCGTTTACAACAAACGCCGATATATAAAATATTACTTTAGCGGTGTTTTTATACAAACGCCGCAATGTTTTTCAAAAAACGCCGCAAAATAGTTGAAGCAAAATAATAATACTTCAGTGGCGTTTGTTTACAAACGCCGCAAAAGACTAGGAATTTTGTGGCATTTTTCTGTAAACGCCATGATAGAGTATAACTATAGAGGCATTTTCATACAAACGCCGCAAAAGATTTGGATAGTAGTGGCATTTTTTAGTAAACACCGCGATAGAGTAGAACTATAGATGCGGTTTTAGACAAACGCCAATATAGACTTGGACAGTAGTGACAGTTTTTTAGTAAACGCCGCTATAGAGTAGCACTATAGAGGCATTTGGTTTACAAATCCTGTAAAGTTTTATAGAAACCCCAAATGTTTTTCAATTTCCCGCGCCCAAATGTTTTTCAGTTTGCTATAAAGTGTACTTTAGCTGTGTGTGTAGACAAACACTATAATAGGGTTTATCAATAGTGGCGTTTGTTATAAAAACGCCGCAATAACATGTTCTGTTGTGGCATTTGTAGACAAACGCCGCAAAATGATAGTAATTTAGTGGCGTTTTTAAACACAAACACCACAATAGTTCAGAACGGTTGTGGCATATAGATTAAAACGCAATAATAGATTATTCTATTGTGGCGTTTAGTTTAAAAATGTCGCAAAGGTTTATAAAAACCCCAAATGTTTTCAATTGCTAAAGCCCCAATCTGTTCATCAGTTTCGATCATCCAACATTACTCTATCAGCATTTCAGTTTCATCTTCAGCAAATTGGCCTTGCACTGGCCACCATTCACGTCGTCGGTCCCAGCGTAGCGTCATCAGTCACCACTGTCACTCCTCCATCAATCCACGACGCTCAATATCAGGTACGCGTTCTCTTTACCCTGGGAGGTCTGAGCCGAAATAAATATATCCATCCATATATTTTGTGTTTATTTTTAACTTGAATCATTAAGTGTTGTAACCTCGACTTTTACGTCGCAAGCTTTGTTGAATTCAAGCAACTCTTAAATTCATAAAACGTCCCTGGTCATCTTGTTGCTTCTGGGTTTGCAGCTATACAATGTTTGTTTATTTTTAAATTGTGTAGTCTCTGGGTTTATTTGTTTCAATGTTTGCATGGGTTGTGTACACGAATATGGTGTTTGTTTCTTGCTGCTGTAAGCTTCTGCCATTTCTATATGTTATCTTCAGGCTATCTGATTCCTGCATTTTTTTTCATGATTGTAAAATTGATCCTTGTAAATGTGAAGTCATTCCAGTTCACATTATGGCATTAAATTAACGTCTGGTGTAGCACGAATGGTGGGTATATAACACACTATTTCTATTTGGTTTTGATTAAAGTTCATATTAAGTGTTTTTAAATTGAGTTCCTCTGAATTTAAAGCGCCGTTATGAAAGGGGTGAGTATCTGGTTTTTTATATGGGTTTTTATGAATTGTCTTGGGTTAGGTGGTTTACCCTATGTGGTTTGCGCTACTTGGTAGCTTCTTTTGCCGTGGTGGAAGTATTCTTGGAGGCATTTCTGTTTGGTTCAGCTCCCTGGATATTAATTCTTCTTGTGTCTCGCTCTTATTAGTATTGGAATCATGGTATTCTTCCAGAAATATGGGACCAAGTATCTGGGAAGCTCTCGAACGACTGAAAGTTTCAGACAAGGCGAGGTTCTCCTTGCTTGGTACTGGCGTTATAGAACAGATTTTCTAGAAAGAAAAATGGTTGTAGTCTTGTTATTGCTTGGTTTAAATCTTAGGATCAATTGTGTCTAAATTTTATCAGTGTTAGCCAAGAGGCTTTTGTTTGATGCTTGTTTCGTTTTGTTGCGTTTCGTTCTTGAGTGAAGTTGTTCTTCTTGTTATAGATTGGTATCGGCTTGTCTATTTGGTTTGTTTGAGTAGTTTGTTCGGCAATATTTGTAGCCTGGCGTTGATATATGAAAGTTTACTTGGTCAAAATGTAATACTCCCAACCTGTATTCGACCCGGATCCGAGTCCGAGGTGTCACATTAGCTTTTCAAAACTCTGTTCTTTACAATTCCGTAAAATCTTAAATTCATCATTTAAGAAAATTGGTACTTTACATTAATAATTATAATTAAATTGTTTCTTTAAAACGATCAGAGCATATTCAATTCAAATCTTGTAACTACAAGCCAACTAAACTCTAAAAACAAAATACATATGTTCAATATGTTTCTGATCTGATACTCGTAAGAAAGATACTGACATGCCTTCTCCTCGCTACTTCTATTCTCGCTTCTCAACCCTACGTGTGAAGCATTCACACGCTATGTCTATGACTTAGTGAGGCATTAAACTTATAAGAGAAACTCTAAATTTTTAACCATGCATGAACATATCATATCATATTATCACACAAAACAATATAACATTACGTATAATTAAATGTACAGAGATACAAATCACTCATCATTTACTTCACTAATCTTATATCACTATCCATATTATTAATATTTATATATGTTAATCATATCCTCTTGTCCTAACCTTTTTAACCAACATATATGACTCATAAACCAAACAATACAAATATCATCATATATCACA